GTCTTAAACAACTTGGTTACAATCAGTAAACGAACTCGTCTTAAACAACTTAGTTACAATCAGTAAACGAACTCGTCTTAAACAACTTGGTTACAATCAGTAAACGAACTCGTCTTAAACAACTTAGTTACAATCAGTAAACGAACTCGTCTTAAACAACTTGGTTTCAATCAGTAAACGAACTCGTCTTAAACAACTTAATTACAATCAGTAAACGAACTCGTCTTAAACAACTTGGTTACAATCAGTAAACGAACTTGTCTTAAACAACTTGGTTACAATCAGTAAACTAACTCGTCTTAAACAACTTGGTTAAGCTACACAGAGTGATGATGGTGACACAGTAAACAAACATTTTACATTTGTGTCTTTAATAAGATGATCAAATCCTTTTATCCAATAAAACTTAGCAAGCATTACGTAAGTTAAGCCTAATAGTTATCTTTCATACTGAAGTTTCAAAACCTTTTAAATCTAATGCAAGATCAATGTATAGCCTGTGTTAAATAATTACATCTAAAACTATTTGAAACATAAATATTTGAATAATTTAATTTTCTTCATTAAAAAAATGCTGATTTCATTCGATATGTCACAAACGCTTACTCACAAGGTTGGTCTAATGACGTAAGCAGACGAACTGGGTTTTTTCCCTTTGAGAACTTCCGGTTGTGAGATTTACTGTTGGCATTCGGGACCATGAGATCTTTATATGTTTAAAAAAAATGTCAGCGATACAAATAAATCAGTCTATAATCGAAACTTGAAAGAATTCATTACGGACTTACAACGCTAAAATTCAGGATTTGATTTCCCGCGGTGGACAGAGTGCAGATCAAATATTGTGTAGCTTTGTGCTAAAAACGACAACATAAAAAAGTACATACTGTTACGACAGCGGTAGTCATGTGACGCTGGTAACACGTCATGATATTCTAGAAGGATCGAGGAACATCACGAATAATCCAGTATGTGCTAGGCGCCCTCTATTCCTGTATATAAGTGCGACGGATAACGTGAGACAAATTAATCGGAATTGAATTGCAGACAGGCAGAGATAGAGACAGACAATTGAGTCAAGCGTGAATCATTGTGAATTATAGTGTGTGTTTAAAGTGACTGTGAAAATTAAGTGTATTACAAAGTTGAATTGAGAAAGAATAAACTAGTTTTATTTAAGAAAGGACTTGTATCGCTAAAGTTTCATCCGAAAGAAATTATACTGGAAATAACAAACGAACAGAGACGTAACAATAAATTTCATATGAATGTTGAAAGTTGATGTGCAGGAAAAAACATACAAGCTTAGAAATCCATATAAAATATATTTTCTTTCAAGTTTATTCACCCCACTGTATTACATGCTCATATATTGTTAACATAGAACTGTTGCTAATTCTGTAGCTATTGACTTTTACCATGATGTTTTCCATGTTAATGAAGCATCTTCCTTGTGTTGTTAATTAGTTGATAGTAAGGTTTATCGGTGCTGTAAGGTTGCCGTTTTGTAACTTATGTTTATAAGTAGCTATATTTCAGTATTTTGAGATTGATGTGTTGAAGTTTAATAATATCATTAAGATAAGCTATGAACATTCTATTATGATATGTGATAGAAGTCAGTTTGATAAAAATACAATTTTTTTTTGTTTTTTACTCCAATATTTTGTAACTTTCATTAAACTTTACAGCAAGATCAACATGTTAACATTATTGTGTTTCATTAATTTAGAGCACAAGTATAGTTAACTTGTTAATGTTATTATGCTTCACAAGTTTTAAATATCTAATTTAGTAATGTCAATATTTTGTTGTTTTTAAGATTCTGAAGACCCCATTAAGATGACCACGTTAATGCTTTTTTATTCCATAGGTTTCAGAAAATCAGTTCTACCTTACAAAGATTGTGACTACTTTCCCAGAATACACCCAGAGTATTAACTAATTAGGATTCTCAACAATGACTCATACATTCTATCTGTCAAGATGACTACTGGTCAACAAAATTGCATATATTTTGTATGTTCCCTTTCTAGATAACTAACTCCTTGTGTCTTATAGTACTAATGCAGGCTTATGAAATTAATACTCTTCAAAATGTTGTTACATCTGATATATGTATACAATTATGTAACAATGGATTTTAAAATAAAATCAATTTGCATAATTTGTGTTTTTAACTGTACAATGTTTTCTTTATTTAAAATTTTAGAAATCTTGGGAGGTAAAGTGGATAGAACAAAATTAAAGTAACCCATAATAACAACCATTACAACCAAAGTTTCTGAAAAAAATGAAAAATAAAGCTAATTTTGAATTCACAGTAAGTGACATCTAATTTTCAGAAATTATATAAGCATATTTTTCAGTTACTCTGGTAGGTTTGCATCAATAACTTCAAAGTGGCATATTTTGATATTAAATTGTGGTATTTCCTATATCATTATGACAAACAGCAGGTAAGTTGAAAAAATATTTGAAAGAATGTGATAATATCCATCGGTTTTTATAAACATCAATCTGAAGCAATTCAAAAGTCTGGTAAACAGTTATATACATACATATGAAAAACATAGAATTGTTGTCTTTTTCCCTTTGTTGCGTCATCGAGATCACGTGATAATTCTCACGCCCTCTTGTTTCTAGAACTATCCCGTATCTTGGCGAATGCTCTAGTATTTGCTAGATAGGGTAGGCTGGTATATAAAAAAGGGGAAGGTGATGTGTGTATAGACAGTGTGTAATTGATCTGCAG